GAATAGCGACCTTGGCATCGCTGCTGTTGGACGTCAACTGTCATCTATGAAGAAGAATGCTCCCAAATTCTGCTTTGGCAAATCCGTTCGCGAGAAGGAGAATAAGATGCACACGCTACGGCCCATTGTTGCGAATTCTTGTCTCACACCTCCAGCCTACTGACAATTGCCAGGCTGTGGATCATCTTGTCTTTCTAGACACGCGTACACTTCAAACACTTGGTCCGAGTGCTCTAATAGTGGTAGCTGCATCAAAGTTCGAAGAGCCCAGCGCTATCGTCAGGATGCACCACCAGCTTCTCCTTCAGGGGCGTCGACTTTGCCTTCATCGCGCGCGTGTCCCTGCCTCATGGCTGCTAGTGATGATGCGCGACAAGTACGGCCGCTGGATCTCGTTCCGGCCCTCATCTCGCTCGGTGGGTTTGTCTAGAGGCCAGCCCGACCCCGTCGGGCCCATTTCGCTGTACCTTGAACGTGTTATTCGTTAGAGCGGCGCCTCATTTGCGACTTCGGACTTGACTTCGGAATCAAAAAGTAAGGGGGGGACACTGGCAACCCGGGATTTTGCCGTCGTCAAGCCGACCCCCGAGACTACGCCTATCCCGAGGGGCTGTTTGATTGCCTTTGCTAGTTCTGTATCTCAGAGTGAAGGCCGGGCGAGCCGGGGTGCAGAACGCAGCTATAGCAGGATAAGAAAGTATCAAGGAGAAGGGAAGAATCCGGGGTGGCTCTGTACCAGCGAGCCACTAGGAAGGTACAAATCTCTCTATCTCCCTAATCACTGCTTAGACGCCTTGAGAGGCGGCGGCGCGAGAGATGTGCCTGCTAAAGACGACGGTGGTAAGCCGCTCCCTAGTAGGGGCGGTTCACGTAGACGGCGACCGACACCTCGAACTCGAGGTTATGGCGCCCGCAGGAGGCGCGGGACTCGCCGACGTAGAAGGCCCTGGGGTAGTTTGCCTCGAGCCACGTGTGGCAGTCCTTGGCGCCCGTGGTCGTTCCCTTGCAGACGTGTGCGTGCTAGGACTCGTAGGCTAGCTTGAGCACACAGGCAGTAAGATTAACTCAATCGTTCCTTTCCAGACTCTCCTTGGATACCGCCAACAAAGCCAAAGCTGCATCGAGATCTTTTACGTAAATTTTCGAGGAATGTGGGTGTAATGCGTTCAGAAAACACCTGGAAGACAACCTGTAGATCCGGTCGGTGATCAGAAAGTTATAGAAAAACGATCAACCTTGTGAATGGAGACAGCGTGGACAAGAGTATCGGTGACAACAGAATAGGCTGCTGGGTTACCCTCCGAGAGAATGCCCGCCTCACCACAAACACCTAAACAAGATCTAAGCTCCGACACGCTGATAGACCCATCAATTGATACCCGGTGGGATCATCACACCTATCACCCTTGGGAGTGCTTTCTCTCCATCCGCTCTGCGATAAGATTCTAGTTGTATTTCATATGATCTCAACTCTCGCCAAAGACGCGCTATTTTGTCTTCGGTGACTGTGGTACCGTCGCCAAAGTTACGGATCCTCTCAACCAAATTTTCCGGTTCACGCATTTGCTTGTCTGTGCGCAGCTGATGTGCACACGGCCTGGCCGAACGTTGCCTCAAGGAGTGATGATACGAGTATAACAATTGTGTCCGATCCAGCTCCTGGCGAATTGTGCCAATTCGCTGTTGAAGATATGCTTTTTGATCTGGCAAGGAGGTCACTCTGCAAAGGCCAGAATTCAAAACGTATAAAAACTCTGGAACTTCTCCCTGGTGTGAGAGCACCTGCATACAGCAAATAAGACGGCGGTCAGCGACAAATACACTCAGATCTGCGCAAAATTTGGAGACAAATTCCTGGCTTGCGCGAGTCGTGCTAAAGCAAGCACATCAGATTTCGGCCAATCGTCAAACAACCTCGACCTAAGCAGCTCTGGCCTTGTTTGAGCAAAATACTTCAAACACACCTCACGAGAACAGCATAGCGCCCCTGCAAACACTGATAGGCAGCCCTGCGAAGCACTCTGTCAAATGTCGTCCGCGGTATCGAGAGCAGCTCTGTTGGAACTTGTGCTTGGTAGCTTTCAGCAATGGTTGCCATTTGCCCTTTCTTCCTTGTTCCCCCTCTCCTGCTTTCACTGGGGTGAGAGATTTTCGTTTCCCTTTCCATCGACGAAACGATGCATAATTCCGAACTTTTTTTTTCTTTAGGCGCGACTTCTGCTTGTTCATCATCTGAGGCGCCAACTTCGACACTGTTACACGGCTCGTTTCTAGAAGGTTGTGATGTCAGAAGTAATGGCACATCACCAAACACGTCTCCGATGCTTAGATTTCCTACTACAGCATGGATTTCGTTGTATGAAAGCAAACGAACGCCAATAGCTCCACTGAGGATAAGATAGCACGAATCTATCTCGCCTTCACGAACTAGTAGCGTGTCACGACTCTCAAGCAGGCAATGTCCTGCTGACGTAGCCAGAAATTCAAGACTATCGTGTCGCATCGCTGAAAACAAAGGCATCGTGATGAGCATTTTTACTATTGTGTCGATGTGGCTCGAGTTTCGCATCCCTGGCGGCGTAGATAGAGCAACTTGCAGGTCTGATGGATTAGGGAAAATAGCCTCAACCACATTAACTGATTCGCCAATACTACTCCTAAACTCGGATAATGACATGCGTGCGTCTGGACTTGATTTTCTCGTCATTTTGCTTATCATTTTGCTTCCCAATAAATTCTGACTTTTTGCTCGACTAGCGTCGCCAGGGCAAGCTTTTGAATTTCCTTTAGTCCTTGGGCCGCGTGTGATTGTATAATCAACGAATGCACACTTCCAGTCACCGCATCTTCGACTGATGACTGCATGTTGGCGACGGTATAGAAGATTTTCTGGACACGAGTGCAAGAGGGTGCCAAGATCCTGCAATGCACCGTGGTCATCTCCCATATTTGCCTACATAACGTGTTGATATTAGTACTTTGCAAGATTAGTGGAGAATGAGAACTTACTCGAGCAATCGCACGATTAAAGCGAATCGCAAGCTCCAGCTTACTCCGATGTCTCTCGCGCACCCCGCTCGGTGGTAATCGACGAGGTCTCGAGAATTCGTCAAATGCAACTGACAGCGTAAGAGCCCGGTCGAGGTCGCGGACAGCTTGTATGTAAAAGCCAAGGTTTGCACCCGCGAGCGCTCTCCAGAAATAAACCATGATTTCTGTCGGATGCCTTAAGGCCGCCAAATCAAGAACCATGCACGTCTCTTCATAACGATTCGCCAAGTACGCATCATATCCTCGCTGGAGTAGTGTCCCTAATACGCTTCTGCGAATGGCTTTTGGAGGTACGAGCTCAAAATTATTCTCAAGTAGGATATCGACTCCTTTAGGAGCTAGCATGTCTCGGAGCCCCTTTTTGAATTGAGACAATGCGGCGCTAGTCGGTCGCTCCGAGGCGCTGGAGGATCTTAACTGACTCTTTTCAATCAAGGCCGTTACATCATCGACACTGCGAAGAATCTCACAGTCTGATGAAGTATCTATACATTTCTTAAGAAGACTTAAGGCGAAAGCACATTGCTGTCGATTCATGCCAACTGATGTCCTTGGAGAATTGAGCGCGCACCTTCTTCTACGATCCAACTCGACGCGCTTTGTAATTCCATGCGAGATGATCGGTCGGTTACTCATCGATATTCCTCGAGGGTCTTTGTGTATTTCAAGGGGATTGAATTTGGGATACGGCATGTCTCCTTCTGATTTGAGTTCTTCAAAAACGGCCTGGGCTTCTTGAAATCTTTGAATGAGCGAATATGCTCGCGCAAGCAGGGATGTGGTTTCCAAGTTGCGAATGAATGCGCCACCCAGCCGTGTGCATTGCCGAGCCAGCTCACCATCAAGCGGCTCGCTTGAGGCAGCATTGGCGACTATCAAAACAGGGATGAGCGTGAACCCTTTCACTATTTTGAGACAGGTGACATCCAAACTTGCAACTATCAGTGAAACACTGTGTTTATCTACGAGTAAATAGACGTCATCAACCTCCGAGGCTAAAATTGTTCGATGTCCACAAAAGACATGTTCAAGAAGCCCCCGTGTCACTGTCAATTTGGAGTAGATCAGGATCGTCGAACTGCGTTGGAGTGGACTTTGTGCTGGGCTCATACTGTATATATTCGGGGTACCTGCGATCTTTGAGGTCTGATGGCTACAAAGATTTCCGTCCACTTGGCGACTTTAGTTAACTAAGCTGAGAAACTCGCCATGACAACCCGCCCCCCGGGACTGGAGGTGGTGAACTGGGAGGCAATTGACCGAATCACTCAGACAGTATCGCAGATGGAAACGCGCAAGAATTCGCACAGTATAATATTATTATATACTTCTCCGTCCACTTGGCCTTTCGTATCTCCCACTAGCTCGGCGACCGTCCTCTCCTCGGCCGACGACCCGAGCGACGGGCTGCTCCGCGGCAGCAGAGACGCCGGCGGATTGCCCGTCGAACCGGACGTGCTCGCGGCGCATCGGCGGCCGTGCGCGAGGTAGTAGAGCGACGGCGCCATGCACTTTTCCGATGACTGGTCACCAGCATGCCCGGGCGCGCTTGCGAAATGCGCATTTGGCGCATTTCGAGCTGCAAGGTGCCGCTGCATGTTTAGCGTGCGCGATGGTCATGAGCTCCGCGGCCGCCGGCGACGGCCAGAACGACCTTCTGCGGGCGCGCCCCCGCGCCCGGCCACCCCCGTCCCAGGGGGGCCTGGGACACGTCCGGCCAGGCGCCGGGGCCGAAGACGTCAGACCTGAATTAACCGGAGTTTGCAGGGGGAGTCGACCGCGACCCTAGCCGCCCGGGGGAGCAGAGGAGCCAGGATACCCCTAGGATACTCACTCTGATCTGGGCGCTGGGTTTTTGAAGGGGACATGCAAGATGGGCAGTCTAACTACATAACCCCACTGCACTGACTTCTTTACACCCGACCCGAGGGGGCGACGGCCGGCAACACTCATCCTACAATGATGTCAGTTGGCCGCTGGTGTTCAACGACCCTCGCCCAGATTGCCTCATAGCCGGCCTCGAGTTGATGTAGGGCCAGCCTGAAGTCAAATAAGGGTGCCTGCGTCGGCCCTCTTCTAGCATGCTCTAACTTCTGCCGAAAAATCCAGTACTTGTCCGAATCGATGGCCAGTGAAATGGCGAGGTCCTCATAGTCACCTAGGTTCGCAGAAATGAGTTCGTGACAACCCACGGCAGAGCACAAACTGGCAGACGTGCGCGTGGCGATTGTGTTTCCAAGTAGAGCAATTACTGGCGTGCCAGCCCAGAGAGCGTCTAGCGTAGCATCCAGGGCATTGCATGCTGGCGTATCCAATACAATATCGGCCAGCATGGCGTGAAAGACATGTTCACGTCTTGGGACACTATTGGAAAAGATAAGTCGTTGCTCAATGACCTGGTGTCCGCGGGCCTCTTTTTTGAGTCGATCAATGACAGTTTCCGAATTCATATGTAGCCATAGGAGCGAGTTCGGAACACGCTTGAGAATACTCATCCACACGCTGAATATTATCGGGTCTATTCTGTCCGAATCGCCAAAGTATGCGAAAACAAACGCATCTTGGGGGAGTCCATAAGTCTCACGAGCAAGCCTGCCAGCAGAGCAATCTAGGACGGAGCGATGTTCTACTGCATGTCCATTCAGTATACATGAGTTCGGAAGAATAAGCACATGCTCATCTATATCATGCGGTGTTCCTAGCGTATCTATAGGCTTGGTAGGACCAATCACAATTTCATCAACGACGAGGTAGTCAACATAGTCTGCGCCAAAGGTTCCTGGGAAACCAAGAACGAAACCAACCTGGACAGGTGCAGGGCGCAGCGCAATAATTTCGTTTTGTGCGTTCGCCGTATGACCATCAAGTGGAATAAGGATATGGACACCATCGGCGTGTATAAGTCGAGCAGCATCGCTAGAAGAAAGAATCCCGATATCTTTGACAGAGCCCTCAATACCATGCTCTAGTCTTGTACGCCAACTGGTTCCATCTGAAGGAGCGAGAGAATAGCAGGTAACAAGGAAGCGTGATCTATCGTGGTACACAAGGACAGGTGCGAGAAGGTGACTCACTGGATGGTTCCCAAAATTTGCACTGAGATATCCGACATGGATTCGAGTTTTATCGCGCCCACTGGTAGCTGAAGATAAAACATGATGGTGATGGTGAAATACTCCAGATGTTGAGAGTGCAAGGTTGGCCCTGGCTCTTGCCGCGAAGCGCCTTGCGATGCGCTGGGCATCCCGAGGCGCAAGAATAGTCGTCAGACGAAGAGCTTCAAGAGGCTGAACACATGGCAATTGTCCATGGAATATAAGCGGTGTACCTGCGTCTTCGATACTTACTGATATCACATCATTGCCCAGCAGTGACGGTCGTTTCAGCGAGTCAAAGAGCGCGTCATCGTAGCCATCGCCTCCTAACTGTGCTTCTAGGACCGCAGCAAGATATTGGAAATGGGCATCGCGTGACGTCCAGTCACAGACTGCGTCTTTGGCTAGGAGTAGCCCCGCAAAAGCATCAGGGAAGTGTGGCTTGAGAGCGAGGGCCCTCTCGAAGCATATGATCGCATCTTCATAATTACCCCCATCACCATGCACCTGTAAGCGAGAGACATGAGTTTAAATCTACGAAGTACGCTGACACAACTGCAGCCAGAGCAGCATGTGCTTCAGCGAGGCCCGGCGCTATCTTCAGGGCAGTTGTGTAGCATTTTATTGCATCCTCAAACCTGTAGAGTCCCGCTTGAGTGGCAGAATATAATCGAAGCACACAGAGAAAATGACTGGCAAAGCTCACGATATGTGTTACCGAGATTCGTGTAAGCTTCTGCAAAATCAGGATCCAAAGCAATAGCCTGGTGGTAGTGTGCAAGAGCTTGATCAAGTTGACCCTGTTCACGCAGAAGTGAACCTAAGTTGGCATGAGCCGGCGCAAAATGTGGCATGAGCCTCGCTGCCGTGACGTTACAATGAATTGCCTCGCGTATGAGGCCGCGATCGCGCATTGCTGTACCAAGATTACTGTATGCATGTGGGTGATCTGGCTTCAAACGGAGAGCGGTGCGATAGCATGCAATTGCTTCACGCATATGCGCCTCATGCTGTGGCCCGCTACTTGATGTGTCGTCGTGCAGCATGGTTTTAGGAGTCAAATCCACGGAGTCGTATTGGACTATCGGCAAATTCGCAGGCTGAACCAAGCTGCGGAGTGCGTTCCCAAGATTATTGTACGCATCTGGAAAATTTGGTTCTAGCTGAATTGCGTGTCGCAGGGCTCGCACTGCACCCTCGGCATCGTGAGATGTGAGAAGGCAGCTACCAAGATTGCCATGTGCAATCGCGAAGTCAGGTCTGAGTCTAATAGCGGTCTGGTAACATTGTTTTGCTTCGATCAAGTTGCCCTGTTCTTGCATCGCAGACCCAAGGTTGCTGTACACATCAGCAAATGGTGGACAGAGTCGTATGGCCTCACGGTAGTACGCAATGGCGGTTGAAAGCTGACCTTCATCCTTGAACAGTCCAGCAAGGTTCGACCACGCAATCGCGAAGGCGGGATTGAGACGGATCGCCTCTAGGTAACATCTCCGCGCCGCTTCAAGCTTACCTTGCGCCTTCAGCAAATTCCCGAGATTGCAGTGCGCATCAACCAACCCCGGGTCAATGACAAGCCCCATCTGGTACGTCTCGATCGCATCGCTGACCTGCCCAAGATGCATATGTGCGGTTGCTAGATTATTGTATGCATCGCCAAATCGAGGCTTGTACTTTATTGCTTTGAGATAGAACCTAAGCGTACCGGGATACTAGTAAATCAGCATCACGACACAGAGTCTACTGCATGGCCCCACGAACATCGCCAAGCTCCTTAAGAGCGTTTGCCAAATTCGAGTAAGCCTCGGCCATCTGCGGCTCAATGCGAATTGCCTGTACGCTCAACCAACTGAACGTTGCACATCGTGATAGTCTCGCGCCTGTTGGTTGTAGAATACTGATTCCGAAAAGTTACGGAGCTGGAAGTTAATGGCGCCCAGGAGAAGCAAGTTATCGGTTCGGGCCTGTGTAGTCGCTGTACAACATATATATCTCAACGCGCGCACCGCATCCAAACTGTAGACTTCCTCGGCGATGCGGAGCGCATCCGCGTATTTACCGCGATCATACTGAGCACGAACTTCGCGTTGTAATTCAACTATTAGCGCCTCCTCGTTAACCGCACCATGCTTGAGCATAATCGGCGTTGAGCGCAAGACATAAGATATAAGATACAAGAGGGTAGAGATACAGAGAGATAGAGATACAGATAGACTCGTGCGGTCACCTTTTCCCGCCGAGGACCTGCTGCTTATCCTGCTTAGCGCTCCTTATCGCCTCCATTGACTGCGCTCCTCACCCACGATTCCTTTCTCGACTAGAGAGCGAGAGAGACAGACAGCAAGGTCCGTCTATATTCTTTGCATCTACAGAAGGGCCAGATGTCCCTCGAAAGGACCAGGGTGGAAATCGAACCCCCAAGTTCACTCTCGGACGGCTCAGCAGTACAAAGCAGAATCTCCTGGAAGGTAACTTGCCGAAAAGCTGGTGTAAAATTGAACTAAAATGTACCAAAAACAACCTCCTAGGCCTGGTTCGCCCCTCAAAAGAATCTCCCAGGCTTCGTCGGCCAGGAATAAAGAATCTCCAGGGCCTTGTTGCACTTTTGAAAAGTGGCTAATTCAGCCTCGATTTCCACTATGGAGATGATGCCCCACCACCATAGTAGCAATTTCCTTATTATTTAACACGCTACTTGACACAAATGATGATGGCTCTACTCCAAAATGCGTAGCTCTTGGGGCATACATACCATGGTTATGCATCGAATTGTCTTCGTCGGAATCATCCAATGCGGTATAGCGCTAGCCCCATTCACAGTACGAGCTGCGTCGCTCATTACCCACCGGATTCGATGCGTCAGTTTCGTCGGGGCTCCTTATGAGCGAGAGCCATTTCACTATTCTTTCGGCGCACCACTCCCCCCGGTCGAAATATCCATCGATGCCAAGAGGGTTGAAGTTGCCGCTGGCCTAAGGGATGGCGATCGCGAAGCGAGCGTTGTTCAGCAGCTTCGCGGATCTGCTCCATATGTGGATTTACATCGGGATAGTATTATGGTCGTGCATCTCTGCAGTGAAATCCTGGACAATGATGCCATGTTCCAAGCTATGTGTACATATTTTTACGTGATGAGAGTCCTATGTATGAAGCTACAGTTGTAGGTTCCAGGAACTCATGGATGACTTAGCAACATTGCACGTGCTTGGGGTCAAATTGGTGTTACTTGTCTCTGTCCGGCTCCAGGTGGATCTCCGATTGCGTTTGGGTTTAAAGAAAAAGGGCAAAAGAGTCAGGGGATTGAGGGTCACTGGAGCTGTCGAGCTCGCGGCGGCCTTGATTGCGTTGCATAGGAGTGTGTTGCTCACGAGCTGCCTGTCTTTGTTGTACTTTGCAATGTTGGGATGTTCATGCAGTAGGTACAAGTGGAATGTGGAATCGCACGATCGCGGGTCGAAGCTGCCCTTTCCCGCGCCCTACGGAGCGGCGGGGCCTCGCATGGTCGATCGACTATTGGAGTCGACGTTATTAGCGGAAACGGCTTCGTGAGCGGGCGACCAGTCGGGGTCGTCGATGGAGTTGATACAGGGTTCACTGGGGCGGTTCTCCCCGCGTCCAGCCTTTAGTAGAGTGCACTTTATCCCTCGGTGATGGCCCTCACGAAGGCGCGTCTCGTGGATGCGGCAAAGATATCGAAACATCTTGATGCTGGGGAAATCGTCCTCTTGTCTGCTCTCGCCTACTCGCCTTCTGGTGAAACCTTTAATGTACGGACAGAAGAGATCGCTGCGCGTATGACCACCGAGCGTGATCGAATATATCTCCCCCGTAAATGACTGACGCCCCCCTATAATGACTGACGCAGAGAGATTCACACTGGAAATCGGCATGAAGTGATTAATCTTCCTCAGGTGCAGCACCTGCACTGCTTGCCTCCAAACTTATATTCGTCCGTGACCATTGTTGTTTCGCTAGGCTCAACTTCGCCTATGTTTTTTACAAGGATAGTCTTGAGAGATATACCTAAGGAATCACATTGAGTTGATTTAAGTTTATATTCAGGTCACCGCTGGCCATGAGCTTGCCTGGAAGGACACGGATGCTACCCTCATATCTTCCGGGCGACGCGTGGCGAGTCTCCGCCTTGATGACGCACGCAAGCTGCTCGAGCGCCGACAGGAGCTCGATGACGATGGTCCCGCTGCACAGATCCTTGACCTTGCTGATTTCTCTGTCACCGCGCTTGAGCAAGGTGTCACGCGTGCTCATCTCGTCGCGCCGATAGAAGGTGCATTACTGCGAGAGCTTTACACTCGAGATGGCGCTGGCACTCTCATCTCGAGAGACATCTATGAAGGTATTAGAGGCGCGATGCCAAGTGACATTGGCTCACTGCTTGGCCTAATTACACCTCTTGAGGATGATGGCACTCTAGTTGCTCGTTCACGACCCAAACTTGTCGAAGAGGTTAATCTTGGCTGCTACTATGTTCTTGCAAGAGATGATCTACCTATTGCGTGTGCTTCGCTCAAGCGACTTGATGCAGGAGGTTCGGTTGCAGAACTTGGTTGTCTAGTTGTGGCATCTAAGTATCGCAGGCAATCAAAGGGTGATGCTCTACTTTCGTACCTCGAGCGCGTCGCTATTGCTTCAGGTGTGAAACAGCTATTTGCCCTCTCAACCAAGACAATGCAGTGGTTCGTTGAGCGAGGATTTGATGAGGTGACTCTCGACTTGTTGCCCCAAGAACGGCGGGATATATATGACAACTCCAGGAGGCCAAAGGTATACCGGAAAGTCCTCAAGGCAGATCGTGATGTAGACGTCGAAGACGCGTTCTGGACCCGAAGGCATGCTGGGAATGATTTCGAATGAGCGGCTACTTCCAGGTATTGATATTCATGGGTCACCAGATGTTGGTATTTTGTCCTTGCTGAAGCGGCATCTCATCTGAAGCGTCACTGAGCTAAGTAAAACAAGAGTGAAAGAGGCTGCTAGGTCCGAAATGGGCAGGTCTTTATCTCTTATCAGCGCCTCCCGGGACCGTCACTAGACAGCTGGTGGCTAAGAAGAGAAGCTGTTCTTTCCTCCGGCTGAAAGAAAAGCCATACTTAGCTTCTTGGTCCTTTTCGGTCTTCTGCCTGTTCGCCCGCGCCTGTTCCGTGGCGCCACGGTCAGCACCGATTCTCAGGCTTGGTGTTGCGCAGCCAAGGATTCAAGAGCATCAACCGCAGCACCTGCCGATTCCAGTTGCGCTCTGCTGCTAGCTTCAAGCAGCCGCCTGATGTCGAGGCGTGGCTCTCCCCCCACTAAACCGGAAAGTCGCTCCAGGGACGCCTCCCAAAACCAGGCGCCAGCGGAGGCGGAGCGGAGCCCGGAGAGCACCCGGGCTCAGTGACCCCCCCTAGTTAGATGCGGGAAAATATGCCATATTGGGCGGAGGTGCGGGGGCTGGGCCAGGGAGGCCTCTGCCGCGCCTCCCTCACGCGCCCGAAAGCTCCCCTCGCGCGGAACCAGACGCGATAACGAAGGGCTCGAAGTTGAAGTTCAATGTGACTTGGGTGAGGGCAAAAGAAGGGGGGTGACACCGGCCTCAAACTCGGCCCAGCAGGCGCAGGAGCGTCGCCAAATCGGTGCACGGACTGATATCGCCCTTCACATGACGGTTGCAACTGTCCGTCTCGTTTTACACGGGGGGGAGGGCTATGGAGCGCAGTTAGATGCAGAAAAATACGCCATAATGGGCGGAGGTGTGGGGACTGGGCCAGGGAATCCTCTGCGAAGCGATTGCCGAGCGAGGCGCCGAGCGGCTCGTTGATGTTCAACGTGACTTTTGAGGGCAAAAGTGACGGTTGCGCANAAGCCAGGCGCGAGGCGATGTCGTCCCGTGCGTGCCCGGACGTGTTGTTAGACTTGATGTACGATGTCACACATCGTCCGTGTTGTTT